ATAATTTTATTTATGTTTGTATCATGATTTTTGTTTGCATTATAACTCTTATGTATTATTATATATATATTAAAGAATAAACCATGAGTGTTTGAAGTGGCCTCTCTTAAAGCCTAGAACCTCATTTTTCTTTTTTCTCCTTCATTCTCTCAATATCCACTACTATATTTTTTTTTTTGTCAATTTATRTTTTTTTGTTAAATGTTTGCATTCAACTCCAAACCATTCATCTCCTTCTATATTAATTCAAATGACATAACTCCAAACCCTTCATTTTTTCCCATCAATCATTTATTTATATACATATAAAYAACAACTATTTATTCATCTTCATCTCTCACACCCTCTCAAATTCTATTTCTATCTTATGCATCTCTACATTTATTTTCTTTCTCTTTGGTTTTTCTTCTATTTTACTATTGATAATCTTCATAGTTTTTTTTTCACTTCCCCATAAGTTTATGTATGTTTGTATCGTTATGTTATTCAGGTTGCATTATAGTTTTTATGCATTATGTCATGAAGATTTGAAAAGAAGTCTTCAAGTTCAATATTTGATTTTTTTGTTGCAATATAAGGTAAAATATTTATACTGATTTGTTTCATTATTTTGATTGCATTATAATTTTATTTATGTTTGTATCKTGATTTTTGTTTGCATTATAACTCTTATGTATTAGGTAAAGATTTAAAATGTTCAAGTTCACTATGTAATTTTTACTTATGCATGTTGRACGTTTTTTGGTTTGCAGGTTTTCGAGTTCTTTAACGTTTATATATCAAGTCATGAAAATTTGAACTTTTCAAGTTTGGGTTGTGGGAATTTTTTATTATGGTCTAAGGTAAGAATTTTATGCAAGTTTGTTTTGTAATTTAAAGTGTATTAGAATGTTATGTATGTTTGTATCATGATTTTGATTGGATTATATTTTTAAGTATGTTCTTATCGTAAGTTTAGTCGTATTATAATTTTATTATGTTCATGTTATGATTTTGATTGCATTATAATTTTATCTATTAGGTTATAAAGATTTGAAGTCTTTAAGTTTGGTGTGTGATTTTTTACATATCGTATGGTTGGTCCGGTCCATTCACTATTGTGTTTTTAAAGTCAAGGTATGTGTTGAAGATATCTATTAGGTTATAAAGATTTGAAGTCTTTAAGTTTGGTATGTGATTTTTTACATATCGTATGGTTGGTCCGGTCCATTCACTATTGTRTTTTTAAAGTCAAGGTATGTGTTGAAGATGAAAAATAGTACATGTACATCATCATTTGAAGGAGACATATCTTTATGTGGAGTATTTTTTATTCTTAAATTTGTGTCAGATTCCTTAATATTTCTGTCGTTATTATTACTCATTTTATTTAGTTTTACAATTTTATTACTAAACAAATCTCTCTCTCAATATATATATGTGTGTGTATATTAAAATTTCACTAACTATATTTTATTTAACTTTTTTGAATTATTTGAATATGATTTGTTGATGATTCTATAACAATTAATATATATTTATATAGACAATCATTAGATCATTAATTAAAGCACTCATACTACCGCGCAACGCGCGGTTCCCATACTAGTTATTTTTAAAGGCAATTCTAAACACTTTTTGAGTGAATTGCATATTGTGTCCTTGTAGTTTAGTGTTCTTAACTAATTGAGTCCCAAGACCAAAATAAATACGAATTTTGGATCGTGGGTTTTTATTTTTGCATTTTTTGAGTCCGTTTCTATTAGATAAATAAATATATCTTATTTATAATATATTATAAAACATTTGAGGAAAATTTTTAAAAACCATTTTTATGCATAAAATATTGTCAATTAATGCATATTACTTAAAATTTCAAGATTACAAGTATATTGTACATAAGTACAATTTAGTAAAGCTTCATTTTTGAATTCGTATAACTAACTGTAGATAAATATAATCAAATACAAAATAAACACCTCATTTTAGATATAAAAAACTCTAAAACGTAACTAAAATAATCATTGACTTCTAAAAGAATACTTAATTATTATCTAGAATACTTAATTATTATCTTTATAAAGAATTATATTATTATAAAAAAACATAAATTACTTCATTATCAAACATAAATTAAATTATAATACAAAATTAAATTAAAAAATTATACAAAAAATGAAAAAATTTAAGAGTTAATTTGATATTAATATCAATATATTTTTTTTCAATATTTTACGACATCTGTAAATTAATATTTTATTCAAAAATAAAAATATTATTGTTTTCTCAAGACCATGTAAAAATATATTATATCGACAGTGACAAAGAATAAAACAAAATATTAAAATCGAAATATATCTCGTTGTATTGTGCAGGTATCTTTCTAGTAAAATTTAAATACATATATATATATATATATATGTATATATATTATTTTTTTGGATTTTCATATAGGTCGGATGACCACGTCAAACATCCCCGAAAGTTGGGTTTTAGATTATAAGATCCCTGCATTTTGTACAAATCTTATTTTCGATTTGGGGTCGGCTTCAGATACCGTACCGTACCAAATCGGCAAATAGTAATAGTGATTTATTATATGTTGGGCTAAGGCCCATATAGTAGAAAGCCCACATGTTATCTCTAACCTTTCAAATCAAAAACAGGATCTCCTCCTCGACAAATTCGGATAAGAAAATTAGGCGGCAGGCACCTTTCTTCCATCTCCTCCACCACCATTAACGGTAAGCTCTCTTCCCGTCTACCCTCTTATTCTTCATGCGAACCCTCGCATAATCTCGGTTTTCTCCATTGAATCATCCACCAGGAGCTTCTAACCTCTTGTTTATGGTCTAAATATGGAATCAGTTGTCTCCATAAAGCAAACCCATGAAGGGTTTTGTTCATTTCATTGTGTTCATAGGAAAAGCTTCAGGAGCCATAGAGCTAGGATTCGTAATTCAGTTGCTGTAGGTACTGGAAGTCATGGTAAATTGAATGATAAAAATGGGTTTTTGAATAGAAAGATTAAAAGGGTGTCTACCGTTTCCAAATCCCAAACTTTTCGGCCCAATGGGAGAGCAATCAATGGCGAGAAAACCCTGCAGTTGAATGGGATTAACGAGGCGAATACCAGAAGAAATTTTGAGGAGTTTGAGAATAATAATCATCTTAGGAGAATGATTAGGAATGGTGACCTTGAAGAAGGGTTTAAGTATTTGGAAAACATGGTTTATCGAGGGGATATCCCTGATATCATTCCATGTACCAGTTTGATTCGAGGGTTTTGTCGATCGGGGAAGACGAGAAAAGCTACTAGGGTTATGGAGATTCTTGAAGAATCTGGTGCTGTACCTGATGTTATAACTTACAATGTTTTGATCAGTGGGTATTGCAGGGCCGGTGAGATCGATAAAGCACTCAATGTGTTCGATAAAATGTCTGTAGCTCCAGATGTTGTCACTTACAACACGATTCTTCGATCTTTATGCGATAAAGGGAAATTAAAAGAAGCCATGGTTGTTCTTGATCGCCAGATGCAGAAAGAATGTTATCCAGATGTGATTACGTACACGATTCTGATCGAAGCTGCGTGTAAAACAAGTGGCGTAGGGCAGGCAATGAAGCTTTTGGACGAAATGAAAACGAAAGGTTGTAAGCCCGATGTCGTTACCTATAACGTGCTTATAAACGGGTTTTGTAAAGAAGGGAGATTAGACGATGCTATTATGTTTTTGGCCGACATGCCATCAACTGGTTGCCAGCCAAATGTTGTGACTCACAACATCATATTGCGTAGTTTGTGTAGCGTTGGAAAATGGATGGAAGCCGAGAAATTTGTGGCTGATATGCTTCGAAAAGGGTGTTCTCCGAGTGTCGTAACTTTCAACATCTTGATCAACTTCTTGTGTCGACGAGGGTTTTTGGGACGAGCGATTGATATCTTGGAAAAGATGCCGCAACACGGTTGTACCCCAAATTCTTTAAGTTACAACCCATTATTGCACTGTTTTTGCAAAGAAAAAAAGATGGATCGAGCGATTGAGTATTTGGAGATCATGGTTTCTAGAGGATGTTATCCTGATATCGTGACTTACAATACGCTTCTAACGGCTTTATGTAAGGACGGAAAAGTCGATTTTGCCGTCGAGATTCTTAATCACTTGAGTTTCGAAGGGTGTTCGCCGGTCTTGATCACTTACAACACTGTGATTGACGGGTTATCGAAGATTGGGAAAACCGGGCGAGCGATAATGCTAATTGACGAGATGAAGCAAAAGGGGTTGCAGCCGGATATAATCACGTACTCATCAGTTGTGAGTGGGCTAAGTCGAGAAGGGAAAGTGGAAGAAGCAATCGAGTTTCTTCATGATTTAGAAGGGTTAGGGGTGAGACCGAATGTGTTGACTTATAATGCGGTGATGTTGGGATTGTGCAAGGCTCGAAAGACGGATCGAGCCATTGACTTTTTGGAATACATGGTTTCGAAGGGGTGTAAGCCAACAGAAGGTAGTTACACGATATTGATAGAAGGGTTGGCTCACGAAGGGTTAGCCGAGGAAGCTTTGGAGTTGCTGAACGAGTTGTGTTCGAGGGGCGTTGTGAAGAAACGGTCGGCCGAGCAGGTGGTGGTCAAGCTTTAGGTTTGAACCTTCGGTGAGTTGGACCTTTTCGGCTCTTTGGGTGGTTGTGTTTTTGTTTGATGTTTAGTTTGGTCTTGTGAAATCTCTAAATCAGTTTTGTTGCGTGTTTTTGTGAACAAGTTTTGTTGTGATGAAATGGTCTCACCCTATGAATATGATCCTTTATTTTTAACCATAGTTGTCCAGAACAACTTAAAAGCACCTCGGTTAATATCATGGACCTTGGAAGATAACAGTCAGTAAAATCCTTAAGTTGTGTTTGATATGCAAGACAGTATTATTAGAACACAAATTTGTAGTCCTACGTTTGGTAAGACACTGGATATGACTATTGAGATTAGGTAGAAAGAAATCAGCTTGGTAAATTACTAAATTACACGTGAAATTAAAGGGGCTTAATTAAATGAGAACTCTAATATGTGAGATCCATCCAATTTGAGTCGGTCATCTAAAATAACTAGTTGTGTACCCGTGCAATGCGACGGGAGCCGTGAATTTTAACGATTTTGAAGTTTCACTAGTTTTATTAGATAAAATTTAACGATTATAAAAGTTACACTTCGTCTTTACATATTAATACAATTTGAATAAATAAAAGTTATGGTTTCAATTACAGTCTATTGATGAAAAAATTGTATAACAGATTAAAATCCAATATATTTAAACAACTCCACAAATGTGTTCGTTATTACACCAAGAGCAAAAAATCAACAGATCGAGAGTTCTATAGCAATTGAATGAGAAAACTTTTAATAACTCATGGTGAATATCAGCTTGAATCTCACCTTGGGGATGAGAGAAAATATAGAAGTATGAAAGGGTGAAAGCATGAGTGAAAGGTGTCAAAAGTATCTTGGGAATATGAAATATAAAAAATTATTATTTGCATTGATAACTTATATTATATGTTATTTAATTGTAGATTAAGGGATTTTAAGACTGGATGCATTAAGTAGTAGTGTTTAATGCATTATAAGTTGTTTTAAAGACTTTTAATACTTTGTGAATAAATGTATAGTACTTTGTACATTAAAAATTATTTTTAAGACTTTTGATAAATCTAGTTTATAAAGTAATATAAATTATCTTATTTATTAAATAAACAGAAAGGGATAATTTAGTAATAAAAAGGACAACTCATAAATGCTTTTAATTAATTTCATTGTTTCACACACTGCTATCTTTAATCTTTTGATGCCAATAATAGGGTGTATTTTCATTGTTTCCTTTGTTGTTTACAATGTATCACATTGTGTATCTTAGGGTATCACAACATGTATACCATGAACATCAACAGGCGTCAGTGGATATATCTTAATTAATGTATCTCATTAGAATGTTCACACCGGAGAGTATAGGGGGAGGAGAGAGAGAGATATATATAAGATTTCTAAAATACTTAAAATGTCATTATTTAAAATTTGAAGTTAAAATTATTAACTTCTTAATTTAAACTTTGATTTTATGTTACAAAATACTGAGTTCTCTCTTAAATGCGCTCTTAAAATTAAAATCTTAAAAACCCTCCACCATTCTTTGACATGTGTACGTCACTCTCGTCTGCATACCAAATGTAATGCGTTGGAGGAAACTTGAACTGACGACCAATGAGAAAGATATAATAATATTGGTTTCCAACACAAAACAAAATACCAAACTCTTTTAACATAAACAAAGGGCAAGCCTACAAATGTATTTCAACATCAAAAACCAACATAAAACCTCTGTTTTTGTTCTGCTATTTTATGGGATTTCTTACAGTCAATCAAACCACTTCAGATTGGTCATGCTTTTACAGCTACAACTTCTAAGAAGGGGGTTAAAAGTCTTGGCCTGCAACACCACAACCATAAATAGATTTTATGAGTACTTGTATATTACAAATTAATCATATCATTCTCGTAAAAAATACGAAAAAGTTGCAAAAATTTAATGAATCGATTACTAACCGTATATAAGAAGATCTAACGCCGCTTGCTCTTAGTTTTTGTAATCTTGGATTTTCCCTGTTGTTCGATAGCTGGTTTCCAGATGATATCTTCAAGATTGTTGCAGAAGTTCTTGTAAAACTGCGAATGTCAAAGAAAGGTGTTATCTCTCCTACAAAGATTTGAACACGAAAGTAGAGATGTACACAAAGATGAGCAAGCTCTTGAGACGAGAGCTCGTGAGCTGGCATGTTAAAAGTACTTGTTGTACCACCTCGTGAGCTCTCATGACCCGAGCCTGCGATCTTTCTTCACAAAAAGTTAACATTCACAGGACTAGACAGGACGAGAATGACGTGGGCGTGTGAAATAATTCTGGAAGGTTTTAGGGTTTTAATTGGGCAGGGGTTGTTTAGTAATTTACTAATTTTGTGATTGTTCCACCCGAGGGACAGAAAAAATTCATTTTTGTCTTACCCACTCAAGTCTTGTCTTGTCTCGTCTCGGTCTAATATCGTCACAAACGTGGGACAACAACTTTTTGTATCATCGTGTACCAAACGTATATCACATTTTTCGTTGTAGAAAAAGAAGAGCGCACCTTAAGATATTCACTACCATCTCCGGCTGCTTTCTGAATGTCAACCATCACGAAACTGGGGGTCACTTGAAAAACCTGGTTTAAAACTTGATTTCATTACTCGTAATATCGTAATTAAGATACAAGAAAGAGGATTAAATTTCGAGTACCAGAAACTCACTTCCAAAATAACTGAGAAATGAGACGTCTTACTAGCAGAAAGCCCTTCCACCCTCATCTGAAATCAAGCAATTTAAATAATGAACAACTATTTCCTCCATCTCATATTGGAAAATTTTCTAACTAGCAATTACTATTGTACCCATTGTTACCCAACAGCCGCTGCGTACACCCCTCCCCTCCCGAACCCTGCTTTTTAGCGCAATATACTGGGTTTGCTTGGTTTTGTTTGATTATCAAATGATATTTAGACATTTGAGAAGTTTTGTAACACACAAAAAGATCTGACCTTGTAATTCCGAATGTGGGTCTTGAAACCCATCGACTGAGCAACAACTTCCATGCTTGATAAAACAATCTTTGCGGGGTTTTGAGAAACAAAACGAGTTATGTGCTTCACAGAGTCCTGTCAAACGCATAAGAAGCGTATTTTTACTTAATGTTAAGAAAACCAGAACTTTTTGCTAATATTTCTGGGCCAAGAATTCAAACCTGACCACGGTCAAACATTGAAGACAGGTTTAGGCCTTGTGATAGAATTATCATATCGAATGCATTAAGAGACAAAGGACCTGTGTCTTCATCCGTGTGTTGTTCATCGGTCCGCTCTTCCTAGATAGTGCAACAAATAAGCAGGTATGCATTAGCAACGTCCCATAGAAGTTGCAATATTTCACCGAGCACATATTTTATTAATACCATAATATGAAAATGACTGAAAAGTAATACAAGAGACTCTTTTGAGTATTTGCCAACCTCCGAGTCATCAAAAACAGCATTGACATCATCCAGATTAACATCTTCATACTCGAGAAGTCTAGCAGGGACATAATTCTTTTTGAACCATTCATCATTCCTAATTTCTTCGATACAAATACGCTGCACATAAACATACAGCAAATATTGGAAAAGAACTGCAACATAATATAAATTGATTTAGGCCATTGTGGAAACAAGGGTCATATGTGCCATCAAATACCCATATGTAAGACGGTCCTTCTTGTACTTTGTTAATGTGTATATATAAATTCCACTTCCATATTGGATGCCGTATCAGTGGAGATAAACACATACATTCCGTCATGGAGACTTATGCTGTAATGCGCAAGGAAGTTATTGTACTCCCTTTGTCCCAAAATAAGTGTCCACATTTCTATTTTAGTGTGTCCGAAAATAATGTCCTCCCAAAAGTAAGTGCCTACTTTCCAATTGTACCCTTAATTATGAGCTGAAAAACTCATCACCCCCTCTCGTATTAAGGGTAGAATTGTCATTCAGTTAATTCAGGGTAAAACAATTACCATTTCTAAAAATGTGTGCCTTCTTCACGGTGGATATTTATTTTGGGACGGAGGGAGTGATAGTTATGATTGACAGTGATCACAAACAAGACTGATACCACCTTGAAACGGACTGAAACATCATATTTAATATAACATGCTTCTTTCACAAACATAAAGAGGACAAGTTGGGATCTATTTGGATAACTGGGGTTGTATGGTGTGACAAACTGAATATTCATGCTAACAAGTAACAATTAGGTGAACTGCCAAGGATAAATACAAGATAATGCAAGTATTTGATGCCAAAAGGCAATTCAATTACACTATGTGTCGATTCTATTTCTTGTTTTGGGTTGCATTCTCACACAATAAACTAAATGAATTAACAGTACATTATATACAGTAACCAACATCATGGAACATGGACTACTCACTGTTTCAGGATTTGGATCCAAAATTCGATGAATTAATGATTTTGCTCCTACTGGAAACGATGATGGGCAAGAAAATTCGGCTTTATTGATCTGCAGAAAAAAATTAAGGAAGAATGAATTTAAACCCTGGCAAAACAAAGCAGTTTATGCAGAATTAACAACAACAATAGATTTGCTGGCACTAGTAATAATGTACGCAACTGAATGTTTTGACATGCCTTGTTATACAATGTGGTAAGATCCATTTCATCAAATGGGAGGTATCCTGCCATCAATACATATAGGATGACCCCACAGGACCATACATCAGCCAGTGCGCCATTGTAACCTTTGTGACTGAGTACCTAAACCAGAACATGAATAAATGACGAGATGTAAATGCATGTAACACTGCTAAAAGTTACAAAAAATGGAAATATAGACGAGTGATTGTGCAAAAATAAGGATAAGCTGCACCTGTAATTACCTCGGGGGCAACATAGTTAGGAGTCCCACAAGTTGTTCGAAGGATGCTGACACCCTGCAAATATATTACCCAGGCAACATAGTTAGGAATCACATGGGTCTGTTTGTGTGTTATTACTTACTCATAACATAACACATTTTCACATTTTAGCACTATCTTTCTTATTTTCCTGTTCTTTTTATGTTCTTCCTCAACAAGGTTTTTGAGTTTGTTTTATCCTTTCTTTTCGCACACTTTGCATAAGTGTCGGGGTGGGTCTTCGTGGAAACAACTCTACTTGCTGAAGTAGAGGCCGGGTCAGCATGGGGAGGGGATGGGCTCAGGGACCCCACCTCTGGTGGGATATACTGTTCTTTGCTTAGTTTGGTTTGAGCAGTTAGCTTTAACTTTTCTCTTTTCAGATAAGTTTATCTTCTTTGTGTGAATAATGATGATGACAATGATGCACACAAAACTAACTTTATGAAAAATGTATTTGAGATTGAAAACTTACTTCTGCAGGCAATGCGCTGAGTCCAAAATCTGAAATTTTTAAATTTCCTTGTGAATCTAACAAAAGATTTTCAGGCTGCAAAAGGAAGTAATAGTTACAAATGATGAGAATTCATTGAACTGAAATAGAAAATAGAACCCCAAATAAAGGAAACACCTTCAAATCTCTATGGTATACTCCTTTACTGTGGCAATACTCTACTCCATCAATGAGCTGCTGAAAGTATCTTCGAGAATCCTTTTCACTGAGCCGACCATGATGGACCTGGCTCAACATGCATGAGATTTATGAGCTCAGGAATACAAAAATACATCTAATTCACCTTGCTTGGAGACTAGACTTACAATTTTATCAAATAGCTCACCGCCTGTGATAAATTCCAAAATTATGTATATTTTTGTGCGGCTCGCTAGTACCTAAACCAAAGTTCAATATTAGTTAACAGACTTGATGGTTCATTCAAAATGTTAACCTCTGACTATTGGAACAGCTTATACTCTAGATCATGCCTCATGCAGCCGAACAACATTGGGATGTCTAACCAGCTTCATAATTGATATCTCTCTCTTGATCTGCGAGCAAATAAGGAAACAATTTCAGTGGAGGTTTTAAAGATCTATAAGATTATGTTACATACAGTATCAATTTTACTTTGCAAATCAGTAACCTCCTTCCCCTTCCCCCATGTAAGTTTCAATCTCAAAGTGAGAATTAAGTTTAAACTAACTTGGTACGTCTTTTTGAATTCAACGCGATCATCGAGTTCTTCCTGAAATCAAGTATATTAATGGCTATATCGGATCATGAAAGTAGTCCATTTGAATTCCACTCCTTTTGAATTATTCAGCATTACTAAAAGCAGCTTAAAACCCTAATTCTCAAATTTGAAACACTTTAGCCAAAACTAATTATTTAATGCAACTAAATTACTGAAAGAGTGTTTCGATTTAGACAACATCTATAGCTCGGATTACAATCTAATTCCCAGATTAGCATAGCAATCAACCACACACCCATACAATGAGAATGATAAGAAGAAGAAGAAGAAGAAGATGAAGAAATTGACCTGGTCGACCATCTTGTGCTTGATTATGGTACCTCGATCGAGGAGTTTCATAGCAACACTTTCACCAGTCTCTGTGTTCTGAGCAAATTTCACCTTCGCGAAGGTTCCTTCACCGATCGTCCGCCCTACCTCATACTTCCCAACCTTCCTCACTACCATCTCTACTCTCTTCAACTTTCTCTCTCTTAAATTCAACCAAATTCTTCTAGCATTTCACGTAGTGAGGAAAACAAGATCAATATCAGATGTCTGAGTATTTGTTGTTTTGTTCCCGATTTGATCAATGTCTTAAGAAAAAGGAAAGTTTATATGTCAAAAGTTTGGCAAACAAAGAAAACTCGAGGACAGAAAGGCGGGTTTGACGGGGGAAAAGGATAAGATATATATAGATTGAGAGTGGGGACTACTGATTAGAAAATTAACCTCATAAGTAGTGGAGTTGGTGACACCAATGGGGGATTGTGGCGGTTATTCTCATCTCCGGCGAGGATGGAAGGGAGGGGCGGACGCCGATGAAACTGAATGAAAATATCGATTGGCCGGTAGTTAACCACGGCGGTTTCTAGATACTTTCATTGTGCCCCTTTTTACGATCCATTTCTATGTTCTCATTTTTCAAATAAACTAATACATTTATTTAAGGGAAAAAAGTTAATAAACATGAATTATTGGTCAACTATTATTTGGTTGTTATTATTATTGTATTTATTATATTATTATAAGGGTATACGTACAAAGCAGCGAGATATATATCGATTTTAGTGTTTTTTTTTTTTTTTCAGTCGATGTTATAATACGGTTTCATATAGTTTTGAGAAAACGATAATGTTTTTATTTTTAAATAAAATATAATATGAATATATCATATAAAAAAATATTGATGTCAATACCATATTAAATACTTATTTTTTTTTGTATTTTTTAACTCATTTTTTTGGTTTTTATTTAATAATATAATTTTTTATACAGTATTTTGTTAGAATTAATGATTATTCTAATTATATTTCAGATTTTTTATATTTAAAATAAGATGTTTATCCTCTATTTAATTATGTTTATCTGCATTTAGTTACATGAATTCAAACATGAAGCTTTGATAAGTTGTATTTACGCATAATTTATTTGTAATCTTAAATTTCATGTAATATGCAACAATAAACAGTATTTTATGTATAAAAAATGGTTTTTAAAAGTTTTTTTTTCAAATGCTTTATTAATATAAAATTCTCAAAATTTAAAGTTAGAAGTTATTATAATATACATGTGACTTTTAAAGTTTTATAAAACTGACTCATAATCAGTGTTCAAAAAGGCTCGTCATGATACAATATGGTGTTAGACGTGTCTTTGTCGCTATGAAATGGCTCATAGCGTTTTTGTAATGTGTGGCTCATGCCATGGCGTCTTGAGGCGTGTATTTTTTGTAACACGTGATTTTTTTCCAAAAATAATATTTTTTTTATTTTTTATCTTTTGTATTTTTTTACACTTTTAACTTTAGATTTTACATTTTTATAGATCTAACGAATCAGATAATGATATTAAAAAAATGTGAATCGTGACTTATTATCACCTTCAGCCTTTGCCCATAATTACGTCGTTCAATTTTCAAATCATTATTTTTTTGGTTTTATCTTAAACATTAAATATAGATCAACAACAATTGACATCAATTATTTATATTGCCGACCAATATTTTTGTTGGTTTTTGCATTTAATAAGAAAAGTCGTCGATGATAGATTTTGACCAGATCGGAAGAAAAAAAAAACTTAGATAATTATTCAATACAAAAATCATCGAAAATAACCTTCTCGTTGACCTCAGAAGTTAATACAATTTATTGTTGTTTTTGAGTCGTCAAAGATACGGTGTTTTGTTTTTAAAAGATGTGTGTGGTTTATGTATATAATTTTTTTTAAAAATATTTTGCATTTATTTGTTTAATTATCAACTAATTTTAATATAGGGTTTTAGTTAATTAAATATCATATTAATAGACTAGAATGTATTATAAAGTTGATATGGTCTTCAATCGTCAACTTACATTAAAATCCAAATGGAAAATTGAATGAATGTGTATCAAGTATTCAAGTTGGTAAGTGGTCTGAATTTGATAATGACATACCACTATCTCATTTATATTTTATCATAAATATAAGTAGCAAATTTTGTATTAAAACAAGTTTCATATTTAAATCTTTTTACTATTTATAGACCATAAACATATATAATCAAGGTATTAGACGGGACGAGAATCACTTCGTTCCACTCTCCCAACAGCTCCCTCTGCTTCTGGAACTGTAAAAGGGTTGGGGAGGTCCTTGTGCGACGTCTCATCCCTAAGACTTGTTTGCTTTATATGGAGTGCCCCATGGTTCCTCAAGCCCACCTTATCTATTGTTTCCAAATCCTTTTGGATTTGGTCCATGAGCCTAACAGACAGGTTGGAGTAAATATTGCATTTGGTTGATTATATTATTATGAAAAGTAAGTGTAAAAAAAATTACTAACGGACCACTACTAGTTGATCATTTTCCTAAAACGTCTTGGACATTTTGTGTTTCTGAACTTCTAAACACATTATTGGACTCTTGGATGTGGTATTGTGCAAACATTAGATCTTATTCAGTTAGACCTAAGATGTCAACAATATCATTTATTAAAATTGATACTCCATAAATGTCGTATACGAGGCAAAGATACACCACATAAAAACCAAAGCCAACTCTTTGAAATATTCGAGGTAGAGGTGGTGGTTTCAGAGGAAGTGGATGTGGTGTGGGGGGTTGTGGAGCCACGGTAGGGGGGTTGGGGGTTTTGGAGGGACGGTGGTGGTTCTTTTTACGACAACAATGGTTAGAGGAAGATGTAGTGGTTGAGGTTGAGGCAGTGGTGACTGATATGGTGGTAGAAGGTTGAACTATACCAGTAACTTGGATATCGCTGGACGAAAGACCTTTTGATTAGTTATAAGTATATCTATCGGCAAGTTAAGGTTACAATGACATCTTTTTTGTATCAAAATTCATATTTAATACCCATTTTAGATGTTAAAGGTCTAAAACATAACCAATCATAGAGGGTGTTTAATAGAACCATTTCATTGTTTTCGACACACACAACTGATTGGTTTGGTAGTTGGTATCATAGAGTCCTCAATGGACGGGACTGGACTAAACGAGCAAGATTGAAGTAGGTAGAAGAAATAATTGTTGATATTAAAAAAAGCATATAATCGTTGAATAATAAATAAAACAGAACAAATAGAATCAAATATCAAAATCAAACAAAGCTTCCCCTCTCGCTCCTTCACTTCTTTTCTCGTTGCCTTACTCTAGTCTAGGCCTTCTCCACTCTGTCATTGTCTACTCGCCACCATTCATCCAGGACAAGCATAATCCTCCACCAATTGTGGGACATGAGGTTGATAGAATAAAAGTTGCCTCATTAGGTCTTTCCGTGACTTGAAGTTGATTTATCAAAGTATTAGACATGGTAGTAAGAGAATGATGAATGTTGATGAGCTCTTGCAAGGCGGAAAGTTTGATAGTGTTTCTCAATGTGCTTGTCCACCTCCCATTTGGATTGCTTGAAATCAAGAAAAAACCCCAATTAAGATTGATAATGGAGACTGATATATGTTGAGAATTCAACATATAAAGCACTCGTTTTACGTCTTATTTGTTAGAATAGTTTCCTTTCATTCCCACTTTGAGTCATTTTTATT